GATCATTCAGTTCATACTTGAAGCTGGATCGGGCTGAGCTGCATTATGAACTTTCGAAGACACACCCGAACCGTGCAGCTTGCCTACTGAGAGTTCAATTTTTGAAAACCATTTTTATCAGGAAATTCGGATTTTAATCGCACGACTTTTCATAGTACCATACCGAAAACTTGTAGAGACGATTATGGGCAAAATTCAGGTTAGTCCAAAAGTAAAAACCTGCCTTTGTAAAGTTCCTAAAATTGTGGTTATTTGAAATAAAATGATGCCATAAAACTCTCAGATCAGAGAACACAACAGCAAAATATTTCTAAATAATACATTCATTAAATTTTAAAAATCAGTCAGAGATGAGATAATAAAATGCCACGGGGTGAGTGGATACAAAACGGTGATTTGATTGATGATCAGAATTAAAGCTTATTATTTCTCAATTATTGAGAAAAGATCAGAAAGACCAGAAAAACAAGTAATGTATCAATTATGCCATTTCCACTCTCCGTTCTTATAGTATGCTTCTCCAGAACACATCGATTCAAACTTCCATTCCGGTTCAGCCGTCTCCATGTCATCTTTAGTGGATTCCTCGGTTTCCAACGCTCTCTTGATATCTTCTTCACTTGCACGGATAAGCTCGAATGTCTCACGAATACGACGAGAGTAGGAGTCCCATTTCGATTGGTTTTGACAGACCCGTTTTTTCAGAACCAACTCTTCGAGCTTTTCTTTGTGACTTTTTTCCGAGCGTTTGGCTTTTTTTACTTCCGCGGAGGCTTTTTTGTGACGTGCAATAGTTTCACCGTACTTGTTTCCGAGGTCAATGATCGTTTTCTAGATAATTTGCCGAAAAATAATAAACCGAAAATTTTTTCAATATCTCAAAAGTCCCAAATTTACTTTTATTCTTGTTATAACACTTGAATTCAGCACAAAGACGAAATCTTGTGTTCGGCTAGAACAAAAATTCAAATTAGGCCCTAGAAATAAAAAATTCACTGACGATTTTGTTTTGGACTCCGAGACGAAAAATCAATAATCCAATCAATAGGAAAAAAATCGAAAAAATATTCATTCGAAATTTTAGTTGTTTTTTTATCAACTGTTTTTTGGTACTTTTTGGGCCATAACTCCCCAAAAAAATTTTTATAAACTATTTGTCTTGGATTCTCAAATAACTTTTTACGCTCTTTCTAACCATATACGTCTCAATTTTTTCGAGGGTAAGACTTGGGAGTCATGTTAGTTCCATGTTAGCTAGGCCGAACCTTCAAAAACAGAAAGCCTAGTAAACCAAAAAAATTGCAATCTTCTTGTTTTTGATCTAGAAATTGTTACCCAAATTCTGAAAGATAGAAACACTGCTAAATGCAACAGTTTTTCACAAAATTGAAAATTCGTTAAACAATCTTAAATATAACTTTTCAGATGATCAACATCATGAAGCAGACAACATTTATAAACGAGTCTATAAACGTCTCTCAAAAGGAATTGTTGAATGGTCAACTACGAACGGTAATTTTTTTTAATTTCAAAAATACCAAAAACCGATCGGAACTGAATATTTTCATCAGATATTACTCGAAGGATCATTTCAATTGAATAAATCACACTTTTTCAGAAACGACTAGCATGTCTAACGTCCAAACTGCCGCC